CTCTCTCTCTCTCTCTCTCTCTCTCTTCGTCGTTGTTCTCTTATGCAGGTACAGCGGCGCAGCTATGATATTCCTCCTTCGATGTTGCCGTCCTGGCTTGGCGCCCTGCTGGCGCTTCTTCTTCGTGGCAACCTTCGTGCGTGGAACACCGGGAACCTGCTCCGATACCAATGCAATCAGACTCGCTATCTTTCTCACTCCGCATGCATACAAACAGATGATGAGTATTCAGGCGCCCACACAAAGCTCAGAGAAATACAAGTCGAGAACACAGGTTCGATACAAACTCGCTTCAGATTATCTATGGCGACCAAGCGCCCAACTCTCTTTTACAGCCAACCCGTACTCCCACTGCTTACACAAGCACGCTCACACCTCACAGGCGATCTCCCTGGATATTCCACGAGCATGCACTCTCTCACTGTACACAAACGCACACACACACTAGACACTTCACTTTCTATCGCAGCTATGGCTGCTGCCTACGCAGCACTACAAGCGGCTATGTCCGCTCTATCTAGCCAACTGCCCACTGCAACGTCCAGCTTCCTGCAGACCACCTAGCACAAGGCGCACTGGCAGCACTTCCGCAAGGATCACCACAGAATGAATGAATTGCTGGACGCTGCCTCTTGATTTATACTTCTGTTGGCCACTGGTCTGCCTCTTTCCACCAGGCCCTTGGTGCACACAGTTCCACTCGGTACTTGCTTGACTGGACTGAGTGTGGCTGGGACCGGTACCGCTGACTGCACGGGGTTGCACTGCCGACTCGACGCAGTTGGACTTATGACTTCCCTACAGACCTCTAGCCTAGCAGTTTCGACGTCTACACAGCGGTAACCCCTACTTGACAGCTCTACAGATCGAATCCCTACAGCTACAGGGACCTACGACAAAGAACAGTCACTACTAAAACACAGGTCGCGGGCTCAAACACCCAGGGGTCTACTTGATACTGTACACAGATGCAGGTAAGGTCTAGGGATCGAACCCTGGGATCTGCATCTGCTTCTGCAAAGGTGAAAACCGTTTCAACCGTAGTCACTCACCCAAGCCCACCAACCCCAACTGGCCCAACGGCATGGCGGTGTAGAACGCCAGAGTTGGGCAAAAATAAAGTGTCACAAAATGGCTTCACGAACAGAGGCGGCTCTAACCCTCAGCTATTGGCACAACCAAAGCACATCATGTTTGGCATCCTCCTCTTTGTCTATGATTTGTGTGTTCTTGCTTGCTCTTTTGGGCCTATGGATCAGTGAAAAGACAACCTATGGATCAGTGAAAAGACAATCTCCAAGTAACTGTAGATGTTTTCTGTCCGTCATTGAACAGATCATTAGGATTGTAATTCTTCCCAGTAGATTTCCTGTCATATTCTATTGCCGTCTCTAAAATGAAAAACAGAAGGGCAAAATTCCTTCCACAACAATCTCACACATTCGTTCCAGTACAATCTCTCAGATTCCTTACAGAATGATCTCCTTTCGACACGTCATCAGAACTGTCACCACGAATTGTGGAAAACTGATGGTAGGCACAGTGTCATCCTTTCCCTGGGCAAAGCAGACATTCACTACAATACCATTTTTTCTTTTTTTTTTTGCTAATCTTCTCTGTATCGTTCCAATTTTAACGGATGTCCCGAAGGACATTCACTACAATACCATAGTAAATACTAAATACTTTATAAGTTTATAGTAGTTTATACTACTTTTTTTTCCAAACATTCCCTAAAATACTCACTAGCTGGAGATGAACATTTTTTCATTTCCTGCAAACTCCCCCCAATACTCACTTCTCAGTTAACAATCTTGGAATGGAGCACGGCTTTAGACCAGGCATCATCATGCACCAGTGTGGGAATTTCCTTCATCTTCGCTTTTTCCTTCTCTCCCTAGTTTTTCATTTTCAGTTTTTGAATTCATTCATCAAGCAGTTCCACATTTCGGTCTATGCAATCGAAGCGAATTGCTCGCTGATTGGGTGCTTCAAAGACTGTGAGGCATGACCGCACTTACTTACAGAGACACAAACACCAGTTTTGAAAGTAGAGACAGAAACAGCACACAAGATATACACTGTACAAATGAATGTACTTTGTAAATGTCCAATAGTCAAGTTCCGACAAAGTTGCTTGACCACCTATGAAATGACGACTTCTTTTTCCAGTGATAGCCTAATATTCGCTATGCACAACCACAATGCAGAGCAGGGGGGAGGAAGGACAAGAGGGATACATAGGGGAACGAGGGAAGGGTGACAAAATGATGTTGAAACTTGGGCTAGTGGTAGGCAAACGAGAGGAGGGGTTGGGGCAGGAGGGAGGGGGAGTGGCAGCAGTGGGGTGGTTCAGTGAGAAAGACGACTATTCGGGATGAACATTGGATGGAGAATAAAGACAATTGGCACATCTGTCTTTCAGGAATGCCTGAACGAGGAAGGCCAGAGGCGAATTAGGGGTTCCAGAACTCCTTGTTGGGCACCTTTTGAGAAAAGGGAGGCATAGGACATCGGCGTGCTTGCAGGCGGGAAATCTTCTGCAGGCATTGCAAATGGCTTCAGCATTTTCTCCAGAGTCTCCAGTGACAGCTCTGACCCCTCTTTCTGCAACAGCATAGTCGGCTGGACCGGCAAGGTATGATCTCTCCCTCGGGGTGACACCTGATCAGCATGCCACAAAAGTCCAGAGTCCAACACAAACAGTCGAGATTCTGAGATCGTACTCTATCGTTCGCGACATCCATTCAAACTGGAACAATACAGGGAAGAATGGCATGAGCCCTGCAGAACGGCAACGGATCCAAAACGAGAAAAAGGGGGAGATCATACTGGAATTCTGTGAGTGATATTTCCATGTGCAGAGATCCTAGGTTTGGAACTTCGCTGCAGCGATTTTGCCTTTTCTGGTTTAGGCTTAAACCACCACTAGCTTTCAGGCTGAAAACCTAAGTCGTAAATATAACCTACGGTGCTATGCCATATTCTTCCGAGGCCGGCGGAGGCCGGCGGCGCTACTGGACCAAAAAGGCTGGCGGCACCAGCCAAAACAAAACAAAAACCCCGCACTGGCGCTTCGGCCGAAGCTTGGCGTGCAGTTCTACTCCTCGGCAAAAAGAGGCTCGGAGGTGGTGGTGGTTTAAAAGTTAAAACTAAGTTCTTAAACCACCAGTACTTCCTAAAGTCGTGCCTGTAAACGAGCCGCGACTTTAGGAAACGTACGGGCCACTACAAGAGCGCCCAAATTCATCTAGCTAGAAGCGATTCTACTCCAGTTTTTTCCGCGGCCGATAGCTGGGCCAAGTACTGGTGGTTTAAGTTGGTCAGACCATAATGCAACCACCAGTAACAGTGCAAACTCACCCTCCCGGGTCCCGACCCAAGGACCATTCCTTTCAGCTATTCTGTTTGTATGGGGCATTGACATCTCCTTTGGCCTGGAGCAAACTTTTCTGCGCCAGGATACCCCCTATCCGTGGCTCCT